AGTCTTGGAAATTAAGGAGAGGGTCAGCTATGAGTCAGTTTCAACTCAATGACAATGAGAAAGTTACTAGTACCCTAGAAGCCTCCCAAAGACCAGTTCATAGTCACTACTAGAAATCTGTTCTGTCCAAAGATGGCCAGAATCCTGTAGCCCTTATGCATTGTTTTTCTTGTTTTGAAGTGTATACCAATGGAATTTTGCGGAAAATATTCTATTGTGTTCTATTCCTTTTACTCATTTTGTTGTTGTTGTTGTTATGTGCCATCAAGTTGCTTGAAACTCATAGCAACCCTACATACAAGAGCCCTAAATGCTGTTCTACCCTGTGCCAACCTTGTCGTCTCAAACACTCTCATTCCCACCACTCCACTCACAGAATCAGTCCATCTCATCAAGGGTCTTCCTCTCCTGCGTTGTCCCTCCACTCTACCAAACATGATGTCCCTCTCCAAGGATCAGTCCCTCCTTGCAACATGCCCAAAGTATGTCAGACAAAGCCTCAGAATCCTTGGCTCCAAGGAGCATTCTGGCTTCACCTTCTCCAGGACAAAACTGTTCTCCTAGCAGTCCATGGTATATTCAACACTCTTCTCCAGCACCACAGCTCAAAGGCATCAATTCTCCTTCTATTATCCCTAGTCATTGTCCAGCTCTCTGATATATAGCAAGTTATTGCAAAGACTATGGCCTAGATCAGGCACACCTTAGCTTCCAGAGTGAGATAGTTGCTCTTCAGTACTCTGTGTCATGTGCATAACATATATTGTTGATGAGTCTTCCTCCAATCTTGATGCCACGTTCCTTCTCATAAGGTCCAGCCTCCCAAATGGTCTGTTCTGCAGATAGATTGAAAAAGTATGGAGATAAGATGCATCCCTGATGCACATCTTTCCTGATCCTCAACCATACAGTGTTTCCCTGCTATCTTCTGACAACTGCTTCCTTCTTAGTCCAAGTATAGGTTTCACATAAGCACAATGAAGTGTTCTGAGATCCCCATTTTTCTCGAGTTAGCCACAACTTGTTGTTTTGTGTTGTTTTTTCTTCTTCTTTTTGTGTATGTGTACCATCAAATCGGATCTGACTGGTACAGGAGGAGATTGCCCCTCCTTCTCCAGTAGAGACCTGGTGGATTCGAACCTTGTGCCTCTAGAATTGCAGTGCAGCTTCTTGCCACTAGGCCACCAGAGCTCCCTTTAGCCACAGCTTGATGTGATCCACACAGTCAAATGCTGTTGCATAGTCAATGAAACACAGATAGATAGATATTCCTCTGGTACTCTCTGCTTTCAGCCAAGATCCATCTCATATTGACTATAATAACCCTAGTCCCATGGCCTCTTCTAAACCCAGCCTTCACATCTGGCAATTCTCTGTTGATCTACTGTTCCAGTTGTTTCTGGATAATCTTCAGCTGGATCTTGTTTGTGTGTGTTCTTAGTGATATTGTTCAATAAGTTCCACACTCTGTTGGGTCACCTTTTTATGGAATGGGAATAAATACAGATATCCTCCAGTCAGCTGGCCAGGTAGTTGTCTTCCAGATTTCTTGGTTTAACCTGGTGAGTGTGTCCAGGGAAGCATCTGTTTGCTGAAATATGTCAGTTGGTATTCCTTTCATTCCCAGGGTCTTTTTTTTTTTTTTTTACCAATTCCTTTAGAGAATCTTAAACTTTCTCCTTCATCACCATAGGCTCTTGATCATATGTCGTTTGATGAAATTCTTCTGTTTCAGCCAATTCTTTTTGGTATAGTGCTTATGTGTACTCCTTCCATCTTCTTTTGATGGTTCCTTAACCATTCAACATTCTGCCTTCAGCATCCTAAAATACTGCAACTTAAGGCTTAAATTTAAGTTCCCTCAGCTTAAGAAATGCCTAGCTAGTTCATCCCTTTTGATTTTCTGACTCCAGATACTTGCACATTTCGCTATAATATTTTGGGAAGTCAAAAAACTATAATTCAGATTAGTAGCAGATTCCTAAATGTGCTCACAGGCACCTCAGCCTTGAGCTTTGCAGCTTTAGATTAGTGATATAAAGCTCTTATTCTTTCCAATTATGGCTCTTAATATCACCCCTTCACCCCTATTTGTCCAACAAACATAGGCAAAATCAAGATCCATGGGGTAGCAGTCCCAAGGTTTACTCTTGTCTTAGAACAGATCTCTGGTTCTCTGCTGTGGTTGCTATGGCTGCTGCTCCCATAGGCCTTGGCCTAACTGGTGCAAGAATCTCACGTCCTCAAGCACATATTGCATCCTCTTTCTTCTTTTCTGGTAGTGAGGTTCTCAAACTTTTTCACTGGATCCACTCAATTTAATGCCTAAACTATCCAATGTCCTAGTGGATAGGCTAACACACCCTATTTGTGTATTCTCACCCATTCCACATACTTTGGACATGTAGCCAGGAGTGACCAGTCTTCAGAGATGGATATCATGCTTACAAGGGTCAAGGGACAGTGTAGGAGAAGACGACTCCGGATGAGATGGATTGACACAATAACTGGGGTAAGAGGCTAGATGTGTCAAAGACAATGAGATTGGCTCAGGATAGAGCAGGGTTCAGAGCTACTGTGAATAGTTGACTCATCAACACATAACAACAACACCCCTCATCCACACAACAAACTTAGATAATGGCTAGGAAAGCTATTTTGCACAATAAACCCTTTCCACAACAGCTAACAATGGAACATGGTTCTTTGGAACTATGTATCATAAGACGTTGACAGATTTTGAAAAATGAGAGAAAATATCAAATCAAATATAAGATTCCATTTCAATATTTTATAGTATTGATCATAGAAAAGAAACTTAAATTGTGAGTTTTTCTCAGCAATGATACATCATTTATTTTCACTTTTGAAATCTAATTTTATGAATATTCAATATGTTTTTGTTGTATACAGTTCAGTTGGGACTGACTCAGAGCTGACCCTCCAGTGGGTTTTCAGAGGCAGTGAGTTGCACAGGAGCTGACTGCCTATTGTTTTCCCACAGAACAGCTAGTGGATTTCAACAACGTACCTTTGGATTGACAGTGTAATTCCTTATTTCTAGGCCACCAGAGCACCCAAAAGTCAATATACTCTAAAGTTTTTAAAATGCCATGTTTGTATTATGTGCTGTCAAGTTGGAATGGACTCAGCTCAGAGGCAGCAAATAGCACAGAAGGAGATTGTCTGTCCTTCTCTCAGAGAGGAGAAGCTGGTTGATTTGAATCATTTGCCTTAGTGTTTGTGGTTCATTGACTTACCACTAAACCACCAGAGCTCCATATATGCTTATTTTAAAATGTAACAATATATGTACTTATTTTAAAATGTAACAATATATGTGTTGTTGTTGTTGTTATGTGCCGTCGTCGAGTCGCCTGCGACTCATAGCGACCCTATGTACAACAGCCCTAAACTCCACTCTGTCCTGTGCCAATCGCACTGTCTCTGACACTCCCATCCTA